ACGTTGAAATTCAAATTGTTAAAACACAAATTGTCACATGTCAAAATACACAAAGTAAATAGCCTTAAATCAAACTCTAATAAGTTCTCAAGCAGCAGTGTTCTTACTTTTCTTATGTGTAAATTTCATTTATTATCAATGGAAATATTTTGTCATCAGTTTGTGCATGTATGGTGAAATCAATGCTTACCGACATTTACTGATAAAAATTCTAATACCTTCCAAGCTGATATACGGTATATACATCTCTACCTCGATATAACGCTACCCGATATAACACGAATTCGGATATAACACGGTAAAGCAGTGCTCCGGGGGGAGCGGGGCTGCGCACTCTGGTGGATCAAAGCAAGTTCAATATAACACGATTTCACCTATAATGTGGTAAGATTTTTTGGCTCCTGAGAACAGCGTTATATCAAGGTAGAGGTGTAGTTTGGCTAAGTGACAACTAAGGGGGATCTACAACAGATATAAGTCTGTTAATATCTGAAAGGTGTATTACCAAAGGATAGAATTAAGAAAATAGAAATTTAGGCAAATATTGAGTGGGGTGTAGGTGGAATAGAGAAAGAACCTGTCCTAACAGTGAAATCCATAAAATTGTGGAATAGTTTCCCCAGGAGAAGTGATGGAAGCCCTATCCTAGGAGACATTTAAAAGAAGGCTAAACAAAGAACTGTGCAATATTGTAACAAATTCAGTGCATTATTTTCAGAAGTACATGACAACAGAAGGGACAGCACTGCAGTCTTCATACTTCCTACTCCAAAAATACAGCCTCCTTCCATTTGAGTTAAATATAAGCAGTATGAGAACTTTGACACACAGTTCTGATTTTATCCAGTAGAGGGCAGAGGTGTACACATACAGTAGCCAGTTCATTACAATAATTTGTAGGGACCAAAATTGCAGTGCCATGGAACACAATCTATCCTAGTATTTTAATTTATAGTTATAGGAATTTGTGTTTGGTTTTATTTATGTTTTTATAATGTTACCATTCACGCACAGAGACAGTTCAAAAATATAAAGAAAAACAGCCAATACCTAAAAAAGATGACTTAAAAAACAGTATAACATTATCTGCAAAGTCTTTTGGAAGCTAAGGAGCACTATTTTTATACTAGGACTGGAGAGATCTGGTTTCCTGGCTCCAGAGGTGGATTACGGTTTTGTGGGGCCCTGGGCCAGAGCACGTGGGGGCCCCTCCCTACCCCTTCCGCCTGTAGTCCCCCTGATCCCTCCCCCAGCATTACTGCAGGAGAAATGGGGGAGAGGGGGGGCTTGCCACACCTGCGTGCCCGGCGCTCCTGCCAGGCAGCGGGATCAGGGCGCAGGGGCTTCTCCTACTCCCTTGCAAGAGCCCCAGGCGAGCGGAGCAGGGCAAGCCCCTGCGCCCTGACCCCGCTCCTTGGCAGGAGTGCCGGGTGGACAGGGGAAGAAGGTCAGTGTGTGGGGGCGCCCATTTTTCCGGGACACCCCAATTGGCTAGGGCCCCTGGACATGGGTCCCATTAGCCCAATGGCTAATCCCTCAGCTAAATCAGTTTTTCTCCCAATACCATCTGTAATATAGTATATTTTCCTTCCCAGTCTATGTTGGTCTTGTCTGTGCAGAGTATAAGCTCTTAGGAACAGGACTATTCCTTACTTTGTGTTTCTATAGTACCAAGCAAAATGCTTCCCTGGTCTCAGTTGTAGCTTCTTGAGACTACCATAACACAAATATTACTAAACTTTTAGGAGTAGTAGTAAATTTCACTGGATTACCCATTATGAGAAAAACAAACATTAGTATAAAATGACTTGAAGCAAAGTTTTGTTTTAGTAAAACGTAAAATTGCATATGTACTTCTGCCATGGGGCATTTACACTTTTATTTGTAGTTAGTAGGGTTTTAAAATAAACAATTAGTGTTTGATGTTTGTTTATTTCTTGTTTTGTCAACTACAGTCTGGCCCTCCTGTTTTGTGATTATTGGCCTGGATAGTGTGATTAATGTGGGCTTTTGCTGGGTTTTTTCCACCTTCACACTAATTTACGGCAGCAGATTGCCCACTGCATGCTGAGCGTTTTATGAGATCAGTGGAGAGAGCAATGCTGACAGTGGTTTTCATGGGGAACTTTTCACCTGTCCTCTGGTTGGAAGTCATGTTTAGCAACTGTGACCAGCAGTAAAGGGGTAGGCAAGAAAAGAGTGAAAGAGCAGCAGACTAGAAAATAAACGAAATTAGCACTTCAAAGCACTTGCACTGGTGACAGCTGTCTCTCTCAGACCTAGTACATAAGCCATAGGTGACTGTACAAGCAGGGAACTGGATTCCATCTCTACAAAGGGAGACAAACGGATTTAGAGATGATGTACCTTATCGTAACACCCCATTAAAATAGGGATTGTTGAGCATCACCATCAACACAAATGGGAAGAAACTGCTAACTATACAGAAAATGTTCTCAATGGTAGAACAAGAGGGGCTCCTTGGGCAGATTTACCCTTAGCAGAGCAAAGGTGCCATAATGGACCTACAGTTCAGCAACATGAATATGCGTATTGTGAAACAAGTAATAAGTACCCTAGTACATAAAAGCCGGCCCCAGTACTCAAAAATGAAGAGGCTCTCAACCCAAATAACTACAGAGGCATAATCCACTCTTGTATTTCCTGCTCTCAACAGCCCTAACCTCCCAACCAATGGAGTGAAAAATCTGAAAATGCTCAAGATGCTAGACCCTACATAATAACAATATATGAAACACTGGGAAGAAATCAACCCTTTAGACTGCTACAAACCCTTGTGCAGAGCTATCACAGCAGACTACCCTCACTACAGTGAAACACAAAGCTAAACTGGACTCTTACCAAGTGCAGAATCCATGAATACAAACTAGACATGAAAACTGGAAGTCCTGAAGCACCATTCAACCCCAGATGGGAACCAATGGAACAGAGAAGAAATTGAGACATCAAAGCTGGGAATGGATGACAGGGGATGGATCACTTGACGATTACCTGTTCTGTTCATTCCCTCCGGGGCACCTGGCATTGGCCACTGTCGGAAGACAGGATACTGGGCTAGAGGGACCTTTGGTCTGACCCCGTATGGCCGTTCTTATATTCCAATGTGTGACCAGGGCCGGCTCTGGCTTTTTTGCCGCCCCAGGCAAAAAAGCCTCCGGCCGCCCCCCCCCCCCCAGTGCGGCAGGGGAGGGCGCGGGGGGGAGGGCGGCCAGAGCGCAGGGGGGAGGGCGGTGAGCCCTGGCCGGGCTCCGCTCTCCCCGGCGGCTGGGGGGAGGGCGCCGGGGGGGAGGGCAGCCGTAGCCCTGGGAGGAGGGCGGAGTGCCCGGCCGGGGCTCCGCTCTCCCCGGCGGCCGGGGGGGAAGGGCGGCCGGAGCCCTGGGAGGAGGGCGGAGTGCCCGGCTGGGGCTCCGCTCTCCCCGGCGGCCAGAGCCGGAGTGCCGCGCCGCCCCCCTCCAGGTGCCGCCCCAAGCACAAGCTTGGTGGGCTGGTGCCTGGAGCCGGCCCTGTGTGTGACACACAAGAGAGTTTGAGAAAGGTATTTCCTGTAATTATCAACCAAGATAAAATATTTTTCATACAAAAAAAAAGAAAGAAAAAAGGAAAGAAAAAAAGGGAAAAGCTGCCAGAAGAAAAACAAGCAATAAAAGAGGAAGGATGGCTCAGAAATTAAGCTGCTAGCCCGAACTGTGGGATATATAAGTTTAATTCCTTGCTCCACCCCAGGCTTCTTGTGTGTTCCTGTGTGGCCTTAAGTAAACCATTTAGGGAGGCATTTTAAAAAGTGCCTAAGTGACTTAGGTACCTAACTCCCATCCCATTGACTTTCAATAGGGGCTAGGAATTTACCTTACGTGCTTTTGAAAGTGTCACCCTTAGGCTACGTCCTCACTATGGGGGGGGGGGGATCGATTTAAGATACGCAAATTCAGCTACGTGAATAGCGTAGCTGAATTCGACGTATCCGAGCTGACTTACCCCGCTGTGAGGACGGCGGCAAATCGACCTCCGCGGCTTCTCCGTCGACGGCGCTTACTCCTACCTGCGCTGGTGGAGTACAAGCGTCGATTCGGGGATCGATTGTCGCGTCCCGACGAGATGCGATAATTCGATCCCCGAGAGATCGATTTCTACCCGCTGATGCAGGCGGGTAGTGAAGACGTAACCTTAGTCTCTCAGTTCCTCATCTCTAAAAGGGGGATAATAGCAGATCCTACCTCATAAGGATATTGGCAGGAAAGACACATTAAATAGTGTGAGCAAGTCAGATACTACAGCAGTAAGAGCCCTAGATAGTGACTCATCACACATAACCACCTGCCAGGGGATGGGGTAAACAACAGTAAGGACCAAGGGCCATGGGATAAAAGCAGAAACACACTGGGAAGCCCTGTCCAGACCTCAGGTTTTTACAATGCACTGTGTGGCTCGCCCTGCCACTGAAGTACTATTGCATTGAGCTGAGGGTGTATCCTGTGGAGCCTGCGCCGGTGGGATGGGTTGAGGCAGATGTGAGAGGATACAGGGTGGGTGTGTAGGAGCGCAGCAGCTAGGGATGGGAGAGAAGAACTGTGACGGGAAGGAGGCAGGCGCTTGAGAGGATCCAGGGTGAGCTGTGTGTGTCTTTGATGGGAAGAAGAGGCAGCAGGGAGGCTGTGGAGAGCGAGCGAGCGTGTGGTCGTCTCTCTGCCGGAATGAGCGGACCCAGAGGCTGAGTGTCCGTGTTTGCGAGAGACCAGGCGGCAGGACGGAGTGGGGTGAGTGGGTCTGTCTCTCCGCTGGAAAGAGGGAGAGGCGGGGGGAGTGATCCGTGGGGGGAAGAAGAGGCGGATACACGGGAGCGGGCTCTCCTCCCGGTAGGCTGCGCTGTGATCAGACCGGCGGGTTGGGATCGCCCCCTTCCCCCTCCGCTCAGAGCCCCCAGGCAGAGTCCGGAGCTGCGTGCCGAGCGCGCCGAGCCTCCAGCCTTCTCCTGCCGGCCCCAGTCCCGGGCTGCGCGCTGCACCGGGAGGGCGCAGCGGGGCTGGCTCCCGGGCTCATGGAGACCGTGCAGCGGAGGCAGAGGGGGAAGCCCCGCAGCTGATGCCGCTGGAGGGAAGGGTGCGTCGCTTTTGCTTCTTGGGGTTGGCCGGTCCCTTTGCAGAGCCGGGCGGGCAGGAGGGGGCTGGGGGCAGCGCGTGGAAACTTTCCACCTTGCAAACTTGCCTGGGCGTGCACAGCCCGCGCTGCCGCTCGCGTGGGACGCCGAGCAAGGTGTAGCAGCCCCGTGCACGCTCCGAAGGGGCTCAGCGCGATAGGGAAGCTTGCATGTGCAAGTTGCAAAACTTAAACCTGTTCGGTTTTCGTAAAGCAGGAGAAACTCCCCTTAGGCCAATGCAAATTGCTGACTCCAGCCCCTCCGGCGTGTTTGATCTTTATCTCTAGTTCAATGGCTCTCCGGGTGAGCTGTCCTTTTGCAAAGGGAGGAAGCAAGTGAGTCTCTCCCCCCCCGCGCACTCCGGCTGCTAGGGAGTCTTCTCCTGCTTTGCACCAGATTTAAACACAGTCGGAGGCTGGAGCTGGGGGGGGGGGTTCTGCTTATGCTGTTCAGCTGCGTTTGGTACTAGCCCAGCCGATCGCGGTGCCTGGCGGAGGCTTGCTGCTGCTGGGGGCGGGATGCAGCAAGCAGAGAAGGGGCTCCCGTTTTGAAGGCGAATTCGCTTCCCCCAACCCCGTCTCCTCGCGGCGTGACTTGCTCGTTGGAGGTGCGGGGGAAAGGGGCCGTGACTGTGCTGCGGTTTGCATGGCTGCAGCGGGGGGGGTTTCCCCGGGAGGTGGCGACGGGGCTGCTGCGGCTGCTCGGGCTCCTGGAGACCAGGAGAGAGACTCGCTCAGCCGCTCCCTGCTTGGGGGCTGGCAGCGCGGACTCTGCCCGGTGGGGGTCGCACAGGGAAAGTGCTTGCAATGGGCAGTGCTGGGGGGAGGGGAGACTGCTTTCCCCAGCGCGCCCTGGGGGCCGATCGCTTTCCTTTGGATTGCTGCACGTTTGAAACAAGTTTGGTTTTTTGCAGGAAGGCTTGGTGGGGGGGTGAGCGTTGCAATAACCACTCACCTCTCCCTTGGCTGCTGCTGCCTGGGATCGGGCGGAGGGAACAGACCTCGCTTTGCCTCTGCAGTTAATGATTAGTTCAGCCTTTGTAGGGCAGCCGCGGGAGGGTTGCTGGGGCCTCGGACCGTTTCCATCCCCGGTGCATTGGTTTCCAAAAGGGACTGAATTTTCATTGCCAACGTAAAGGAACTAAAACAAATGATCAAATGACCGTGTTTCCACTTGCTGCTAAATGTAGGCATGGAACAAAACCCGCCCTGGTGGGGGGACTGGTAAATGTGGCTTTCCCACCTCTAACTTCTATGATTAAGAGACAGTTGAACCTCTTTTGCTACTTCTTGAACCCGGCCGGATTATTTACAGGGGCAACCCCCGTCGCTAAAGAGACGTATCGTTGTGTGCCTTGTATTTTGTTCTTGGTGGCTTCGTGCCCTTGCTTTGTTGTTTGGAGGATTAAGGTTTGACGATTGTCCTCAGTTCTAGATCCAATTAAAATAAATGCAAGTAAGTGGGACATAAAAGAAGGAAAAACTCGGATAGCGCTAGGAAGCAGCAAGCTTACCTTGTTACAGAGACAAAGCGTGCGTTCCCTCTCTCCTCCTTTTCTGTCCCTTTGCATTGCTGTCAGACTCAGCGAGGAGCACCATTTGCTCAGTGTTGGTCAAAAATCTAACTCACCTCTGTCCAGCAGAAAATGTATTCTCCACCGGCATAGTCATTGAACATCCTTTAGTATTTAGCAGAGGTTTTACTTATGAATGATCAGGTTCCTGGCAGAGGAATTAGCAACTGAAAAAGAGAGAGAGCTCTGAGAATTAGGGAGGAGAAATTCTGCACCGTTCACTACCCGCTGAGGGAGTGCCCTTGCTTTCACTGCTCGCTTAGTTCTGAATTGAAGCAGGTATATAGGGGGTATGAACCTGAGCTGGGAAACCTGGACGCCATCATACAGCGTGGGTCCAGTTCTTGCTGCCCTTTTTTTGCTGACGTGGAGCTTATCCTTTAAATTTAACCAAAGTTACCTTGTTTCCTTGAAGAAAACGTGTTGGTGGCGCTTGGAAAAGAACCAACGATCCCTCTGAAGCCAGTCTGTGTTCCCAAGATGCTGCTGTGAAAGAGTTCACAGAACCCTGCGGTTATCATTGTGCCCAAAAGACGTTGCAGGCTGGGTGAGAAACCCAAATTAGAACCAATTTACTGGAGCTCCAGAAACCGATGATGTAGCTCTGGTTATTTTCCCCCCAGTGCCTATGTATCTAGTGTTATCGCAAATAATCAGTAGGTTGCCTTGACTGTACTTGCCTTCAGATGTTGAGCTTTTTTTAAAGGACAAGAGCCTGCTTTCTAACCAAAAGTTGTATCTTTTGGAATCTTAATATCTGTATAGTAACACCTGTTAACTAGCAATAAGCTGAGGGTGCCCATTGACCTGTGTGTTATGATGCTATTTTACTACTGTGATGGATGGCAGCATAAAACACTAGGTTCTTTTAGTGCAGTCCTTGTTTCTGACGTAAGTGCATTCTATTTGATCAAGTTATGTTTTCATTGTTGCCATTCTCAAATACGGCAGTGCGACCTGATGTAACCTAGTTGATAGATTATGTCAAATAGAATGAAGTGGGCAATTATAACTGAGTAGTGTGTCTAGCCATTACTTGCTGGTAGGATTTAATAGCTCTTATTCCATTACGAACATAAGTATGTTTGGAGTTCTCAGATGTTTCTGACACATGCAAACGGTACAAATGTTGCTCAGATTAATAGTTTTCTTTTACTCTATTGAGAAAAAATTGTGAGGTAGGATAGGATTTGTTATCGTATGCAGCCCCAATACAGGATATAGAATACTTTTCACCTCTTGGATGCAGGTTTGAATCAAGCACAGGTCAGTAGTGACTAAAAGCTTTTTGGTTTTGTGTTTCTTTTTCTTTTTTTACCATCTTATGGCTCTTTGATGGCTTATGTGAAGGGTTTTGTGACTTGTTTCTAGTTCACATCACTAAAATTGCTTGCACAATTAGCATCCTGATGGTTTTGGCTAGAAGGCCAAAGACAGAATAGACAGGGAGACAGAACTACTAGACCAGTGGTGAAAGCCTGTTTCAGCTGAAGTCAATGGCAGCTTTGCCCCAGGCTTCAGTGGGACCAGAGTTTCACACTAGAAGTAATCCCTACTAGTCTGGGAGGCACAGTGGTATGTAGTGTGGAGAAGCTTTCACTGCTGCCACCTATGCTATGTCTGTTCATGGCTCAACAGAAGATTTAAGGGAGACAGGGTGGGTGAGGTAATATCTTTTATTGGACCAGCTTCTGTTGGTGAGAGGCAAGCTTTCGAGCCACACAGAGCTCTCCTTCAGGTCCAGGAAATGTACTCAGAGTGTCACAGGTACACTAAACAAGTGGTTCTACCTTGTATTTAAGTAGTTAATGCATATTTCAAGGGATCATTCAAGGTGAAATGGCCCATTAACACTTCTCCAGTCATAGTGGGGAAAGGACAGGTGGGAAAAAAAGGTGGTTGTTGTAATAAGCCATAAATCCAGTGTCTCTATTCAGCAAGCTCTCCACAGACCAGGTTACAGCAACGCAAAGCAGCACCAGACCCTGCCGAAAGAACAGCAAAACTTGTAGACATATCTCCACCGCTACATCTACCCCCACAACACATCTTTCAAGATCCGTTCCTATCACAACATGTGGTGTACCTCATCCAGTGCACTAAATGCCCCCAAACAACTGTTGATGAAACCAGACAATCACTCTGCTCTCAAATGAACTCACACACAAAAATAAGACAAAAACTCGACATCACCTGAGGGTGAACACTTTTCACAAAGCCATCACTTTATATCTGACTCTTCAGTCCTCATTCTCAAAGGAAACCTGCCCAATACCTTCGAAAGACAAGCCTGGGAGCTTAAATTCATAACTTTGCTAGATACTAAAAATCATGGACTGAATAGAGACACTGGATTTATGGCTCATTACAGTAATATATAACCCACTTAACCCCTCTCCCATCTTTTTTTTTCTTTTCTCCCCCATGACTGCAGAGGTTAATGGGCCACTTCACCTTGAAATATATGTTAACTACCTATGCTAAACAATCTGTTCCACCTTGTATTTAGCAGTGACACTCTGGGTATGTCAGAGTTACAGCACCGCTCAGAGAGCGCTGAAGGGAAACCGTTGTTGTGTGTTCTTACTGTCAGCTGCCTGCGCAATAGCATGTTCACACGTGCGGCACTTGCCCCGGTATTTGGAGCGATGCACTCTGGGTGCTATCCCACAGAGCATCTCTTCCTCTTCTGCCACTAAGAGTTGTGGGAAGACAGAGGGGGTCGTGGGGCATCCTGGGTCCTGTCCCAATGCCCCATGATGCACTGCTTCACATCCCAGCAATCCCTGTGCTTCTGTCCGCATTTGGTGCCATCTTTCAACAGTTCGTACTGTGCGCCCTGCCTCTTCAGGCTCCAGGAATGGATCCCAAACTGTTGACCAGTATTCTGCTTGCTCTGACCAACATCATGAGTGGCAGTGGAGTTATTTCTTAAACTACAAAGGCAAGAGGAGTGTGACATTGATTTTGCCATGCATAGTAGCTACGACACGAGATTGCTTGTGGCATTCATGGAGGTGCTGACCACAATGGAACGCCACTTTTGGGCTCGGGAAACAAGCACTGAGTGGTGGGATCACATCGTCATGCACATCTGGGATGACAAGCAGTGGCTGTAGATCTTTTGGATGAGGAAAGCCACATTCATGGGACGTGTGATGAGCTCGCCCCAGCCCTGCGGCGCAAAGACACAAGAATGAGAGCTGCCCTGCCTTTGGAGAAGCGCGTGGCGGTTGCACTGTGGAAGCTGGCTACTCCAGACTGCCACCGATTGGTCGCTAACCAGTTCGGAGTGGGAAAGTTGACTGTTGGACTCATGTTGATGGAAGTGTGCAGGGCCATTAATCGCATCCTCCTCCGAAAGACCTTGACTCTGGGCAATGTGCGTGA